CATGGCGCCTTTGGTATCATGACTACTAGTCCTCAGGGAGGGGTTTTCAGGTCAGATTCATCTTAGGTCCTCTGGGTCCTGTATCCGAAGGACATGGTGTCTTTAGCAATTGTGACTTACCTTCTACCTCTGGGAGCCAACCAAGGGCAACAACAATAATGTAAGTTTTGGGGGGGGTCTCCTGGACAACCTTGACTCAAAAGGGGCATCTCATGTTTGATGTTGAGGCTTTTGTTAGATAGTGTGTGGCTTTTGTGGGGATCATGGTCAACTCAGATGGGACCATTTTATTTAATCTGTATATGTATACACAAGTTTGTATGTATTATATATAATTTTGGGTAAATAGTCAACATTATGATTTCTTTTGACCTTTCCAGACATTGTTACTGTTGTTTTACCCACTTCTATCCTTTATTTATTTTCATTCTTCTCCCTATTTAAAATCCCCTTCCATTTCCATGTTTTTACTTTAAATCACTTGGACCCTGCTATTCCTCTGTCTGCTCCCTCCCCCAACAATGGTGCCCTTTTTCTTTCCTGGTTAATGCAGTTACGCCAGGTTATATATTCACATTGGAAGACTTGGAGCTGTTGGCTATGATTAATGTATTCATGTTTGTGTCTTCAACTTTGTTCTGTTGGTCTACCTGTCTGTTTTGTGCCAGTACCATGTTATTTTTATTACATATATCTGGAGATCTGGTAGCCCCTTCAACATTGTTCATTTTGCTTGGAATTGTTTTGTACCTCAGGTCTTTTGTAAATTCATAAAAATTTTAGGATAGTTTTTTCTATTTATGTGAAGAATGAGACATGGATTTTGACTGAGATTGCATTGAATATGTAGATGGTTTTTGTTAGAATGGTCATCTTTACAGTATTGATTCTACCAACTCATGAGCTTGGATGTCTCTCCATGGTGTGGTATCTTTCTCTATCCCTTTCTTCAGAGATTTAGAGTTTTCATTGCAGAGGCTGTTGACTTCTTTATTTAGGTTTATTCCTAGATATTTTATTTTCTTGGAGGCTGTTGTGAAAAGGAGTGTGTCCATGATCTCTTTCTCTGTATATTTATTGTTCATATAAAGAAAAGCTATTTTTTTTGCAAGTTAATTTTGTATCCTCCCAAACAACATGATAATAATTCATAAGACCCTCAATATTGGTCACTTTGGTCTTACAGTTTTGAAAGGTAGATTTGTTTGTTGCATTGAAGTCCACATCAAAGCCAGTTGTATTACTCTTTTCCATGAGAAATACTGTTTTCTGTAGTAGCTTTTCTAAATGAGTGCCCACGTGTATGCTAGGAAGGGGTTCAGACAAATAGTTTAATTGCTTTTCTTATTTGTTTTTAGGCCTAGTTTCTGTTTTTTTTGAGACATGGTTTCTCTGTGTAGCCTTGGAACCTGTTCTGGCACTCACACTGTAGACCAGGCTGGTTCTGAACTCACAGACATCTGCCTGTCTCTGCCTCTCAAGTGCTGGGATTAAAAGCATGACAACTACTGCCCAGCCCTTTTATGCCTAGTTTTATGATACTCCTATTTCTTTCCCATAGAAACATAGATCTCAGCCTCTTCCAAGATACTTTTATTGCTTTCCTTTAAGGATGGAGAGTTCCAGAACTTTCCCTGAAGACTGGAGTCAGGCCCATGCTCTGTGCATGGTGGCAGTGGTGGGGATGTGTTTTCTCCAATGATGTTGACTGAGGTGCTGTGTGAGACCCTCCATTTTCTCTCTGGTTTGGGTGACAGGGTATATAGAAGGTAGACTCCTGATGTCTGTCCTTGTTTTTCTCAAGATGGAGTTTGGACAGTCAGTGGAAGAGACCAAGTGGGAGTGACTATCCAGAATCTAAGACCCCTTCTTGAAATGAAAGCCTGGAACACAATCTTTAACTTACCCTTATAGAGGAGAAAGACAGAGCAAGTCTACAGAACTATGACTGCCTGTAAACCTTTCAATTCATGCATTTACATTTGTTTTCATTGTCTTTTGAAAAGTCTGATAGAATTTAGTTCTCAAAGAAGAGCCTAGAGTTTAGAAATCTAGGCTTAGAGTGAGTATGTATGTATGTATGTATGTATGTATGTATGTATGTATGTATTAGTTCATTCTCATAAGGCAGTAAAATTTAGGTGTTTGTCCCTAAGTCACCCCCATGGTGTGTTAGGCTCCGACCCTGGGTTTTGTCCTGGACTTTATAACAGGGTGACTGTGGCAGACTGCATTGGTCTCTCAAGCCCACCTTTCTCCTCTGTCCGTAGGCATGAGAGCACTAACCCTAGGAATGTGTTGTGATGTAAGGACTATGAATTCCTGTGCCATAGTCTTATTCTGCTGGCCATATGTTCTGTCCCCCCCCAAACATTGGATTATTTTTCACTTCCACTTTCAGAATTACAATCTTTCCAGGATACCTTTTCCTCCTGAGTTGATAGGAAGATGAGAACCAAACTTGTAAGTCACTCTCAAGGACTGGATGATAAAGGGCTTAGACTCTCCCGCTTTTACAACGAATTTAGGTTCAGTTCTCTGAGAAGGACAAACAGTTGCCTTTCCCAACAAAGGGCCAGTTTTCAAAAAGTTACATTCAGGGCCAAGTTGAAAACCAGAACAAGGTCTTAGTCAGTCCCCTGCAGTATCTCAAGGCGATGACCAAATAGGGACAAATCTTCTACCCCATACCCTTGGAACTTGACCATAAAGGCCCAAACACGAAAGAGCTGTAGCTCTAGCCAACCCCTGCCAGCCCCAGCCAATCAGAGATTATAATGTAACTGCCACTTGCTAAGCCAGAATGACCTAACTGATCCTGAAACTCCCTTTGGCTGTGCTTAAAAGGAGTCTACATGCTCCTCTCAGGGTTGTCACCGTTTTGTACAGGTGAAAGACCCTACATATACTGATGTTGTAAATAAGCCCTCTTGCTGCTTGCATATGCGTCTGGTGGTCTTTTGTGGGCCAGCTTGAGGACCCTAACATATGATGTGTGAGATAGCTTTATCTTGCCTCTATTTCCTAGCATGTTGTTTCTTCATGATCTCTTTCTAATTTACGTTCTGGCCGTATTGCAGGCAGACCGACATAAGCCCAGTTAGAGCAGGTTCTTAGGTAAGAATTAACCAAACAGACAGACACTGTGGCCCCAGTCCACTTCCGTATCTGTTGCATTTGAGGGCGATGATGCAGTTGATCCCAGACAGATTTTAGGCTCCCAAGTGAATAGCACTCTGCTCATTGACCCTTCTTCTAGGGTGTTGGCCATGAAGGTTGTCAGCTGTTGTGTAAAAGACCCTGAAAATTCATAGCTGGTGTTGTTTTTGAATAAGGAGTTGCTAGAGGAGAAACTAATTTGATGCTAGGGTATCAAATTAATCTTTATTTTCATTGAAATTACCCATTGCTTTATAATACACTTTATTTCAAGTTTTTACATAGGCTGTTTCTAGGGGCTGTTACAATACTTAACAAAGTTGCTTAAGTGCAGTTTATCATGAAGATGAGTTTTCCACCATACTTTGGTGCGTCCTTGTTTGTGTCATGAATCATACTCAGAGTGAGAACTAATGGGGCCTGATAGGACTGATGCTAATATTTGCAGCACAGTTTCAGCCCAGGAGTAGGCAGGGCAGTGCATGTGATGTGCTGAATGGTCTTTGCTTTTAAAACTGAGATTTAATAATAGGTTGTATTTATTTTCTAATTTTATTTGATTTTATTTTTTTGAGACAGGGTTTCTCTGTGTAACCCTGGCTGTCAAGGAACTAGTTCTATCAACCAGGCTGGCCTCAAACTCACAGAAATCTGCCAGCCTCTGCTTCCCACGTGTTGGGATTAAAGATGTGCGCTACCACTGCCTGGCAGATTGTATTTATTTTTATTTTATGAGAGAGAGAGAGAGAAAGCGAGAGAGAGAGAGACAGAGAGAGAGAGAGAGAGACAGAGAGAGAAGACACACACACACAGAGAGAGAGAGAGAGACAGAGAGAGAGAGAGACAGAGAGAGAAGACACACACAGAGAGAGAGAGAGAGAAAGCGAGAGAGAGAGAGACAGAGAGAGAGAGAGAGACAGAGAGAGAAGACACACACACACACACACACACAGAGAGAGAGAGAGAGAGAGAGAGAGAGAGAGAAAGAGAGGGAGACAGAGACAGAGACAGAGACAGAGACAGAGACAGAGAGAGACAGAGCGCAGAAAGTGTGTTGGATTCCTTGGAGCAGAAGTTACAGAAGGTTGTGGGTCACCCCATGAGGGTGCTGGAAACCCAAACTAGGGTCCTCTGCAAGAGCAGCAAGTCTTTTTAACTACTAAGCCACCTCTCCAGCTCCCGTTGGTTATATTAATATTAATTCTTCTCGGAAAATTTTATCAACTTATACCTTTCCTTTGATTGAAAGTCTACTCACGCCAGTGGGTGACCTAGAGATGGGGCTTAGTTCACTGATAGCTCTTTGACAGAGTACTAATTTGTCCCATGACCACATTCTTGTCTCTTGATCAGTGCCCAGTTTAAAAGTCACAGTATGGGGACCAGAGAGATGACTCATCAATTAAGAGGCAGTACGACTCTTGCAGAGGACCCAAACTTGGTTACCAGCACCCACATTAGGTGGCTAGTAACTGACTGTAACTCTGACTCTAGGGGATCTGACACTCCTTTCTTACCCCATGAGCACCTGCACATAATTTGGAATAATTTTTTTGAAATGAGGATTTATTTCCTTATTTATTCCTGGACTGAAAACACAAAACAATTTAAAATATACGTATTATTACCAAGGTCCCACCTGAGTAGCAAGCATAGGAGTTTTAGTGAAGTCTGGACAGATTCAGTTTACCTCAGTTGTAGTATGTTTTTCATTTTGACTTTGCAAATTCAGTCTTTAGAGCTCAGGGCAGCTTCTTAGGCCAACAACAACAGCATCCTCAACACGCCTCTTGTGTATAAAGCTTGTGACATCATTCAGCAGTATCGTTTTCTTTTTTCAGTTCTGTCAGGAGGACCGTTGCCTCAGGGACATGAGTTTGAACTGTATGAAGTTAGATTTCACTGGGGGAGAGAAAACCAGCGTGGTTCTGAGCACACGGTGAATTTCAAAGCTTTCCCCATGGAGGTAAGAATAATAATCTTGTAAACATCTCATTACTTGCTAAAGAATTCAATAATCTAGTGAAAATGCTTGTTTTGAAAATAGCTGTGTAACTCTTGAATTTTATGTTTGTACTAAGAATGTCAGCTTGGGGCAGCTAATGAGGTCACCTGCCTACTTAAGAGTACACAGGAGGATGGGCCACAGAATGATGAGCACTCATGCCCCCTCAGGTCATAGAGAACGCACGCGCACACACACACACACACACACACACACACACACACACACACACACACACACACACTCCTGAAGCATTCCCTACAGCAATTCTGTCTTTGTGAATTCATATGCCCTCTTTAATTCCCAGTTGAAGTTTCATGTCTCCTAGTGTACTTTTTCTGGGTTCCTCGCCTATGTGGAATTCATCATCCCCTTTCTAATCTCCCAGTGGCTTTGATAGTTTCCTGTCACACGTTCATCCCATGGATGGACACATGTTAAGTCCACTGACTTCTTTGGCTGTGGTATTTTGAGGACAAGGTCTACTATTCATTCCGATGCTGACTCTTATCGTGTACCTACTGCTAGGCTCATCACAAAAGTGCATGAGTTGACGGATGTCCCTGATGGTGCCCGACTTGCTTGTATTTCTTTCCATAAGAAATCTTAGTTCTCCCCAAGAAGCAGATGCTCACTGGGATCTAAGAGCCTCCCTCCCTCCCTTTCCCCTCTCCCCTCCCTCCCTCCCTCCCTCCCTCCCTTTCCTCTCCCTCCCTCCCTCCCTCCCTCTCTCCCTCCCTCCCATGTGTGTTGTTTTAATTATTTTCTAAGGCCTTATTCCCTAACTATTATCAGGTCTCAACTTTACCTTTATGCAGAATCTCATAGGCAAACATCTAGTGGAATTCCTGATTTGGATACCTGGCAGATATTACAGGATAAAGATTATCTAACACCTTTTGAGAAAGAGCTATTGTGAGACTTGCTGCAATACTAGGCTCCTTTCTCTGTCATCTACACTGTGGGTGTGCATCATATTAAGTATGTACCCACTCCTGGCCACATGCCATGTGTAGATATGCCTCTGTGATTCAAAATCACTACTGGATAATTTTATATCCATCATATACGGAGTGGACAGGATCACACTGTAATGTTTCTCAGCATTATCTTAATGATGGCTCACAAATCCCCTCAGAGACTCAAGATACCCATTTCACTGAAAAGAAACCCAAACTTTAAAAGTAGAATATGATATGCTTCAAGGATGGAGGGAAAACCTGAGCGGCAGTGGATTGAAGAGGATGTGACGTGTGCCTCAGGCGTTCAGGAAGAGAGGACGGACTCACATTTCTATTGAAAAAGGTTCCATGAGCCTCCTTGCTCTTTTCTTTTCTCCTTCCAAGGTGTGGAGATGCCTTCTCATTTCTACTGCTTTAAAAAAATGTTTCCTATTACCCCGGCTCCTGTCCTGTCCTGGGGGTACCTGAGAAAGAAGAATGTGCCCTCATGCCTAGCAGCAGGATACAGGGGGCAAGTCAGAGGCGGGGACAGAGCCATCGCTGGCCTCCTGTTGGGGTTTGAAAGTCCATGACATCATTTTGTTCTGATCAGTCTCAGAGGCAGAGGTCCAGGGGGAGATGCACACAATGGAGCAGCTTGAACTGCAGGTTCCATGGTGGCTCTGCTCGACACAGTTCACAGCCTTTGGGAGGTTTCATTATATTTTGGGGTCAGCGGTCTGTGCCCTTTCTGGGCAGCCAGATAAAATTTCCTGACCTAGTGTTTAGCCACTTGGTAGTGTTTGAACCGCTCCATCCCATTAAGCACAGGAAACGGTTTATTTTGAGTGAAGATTAAATTCCAGCAGTGAGGCTTTGCTTCTGAAGGGGTATTTATATTTGGGATAATGGAATTACTGGCTTTATTTTTCCAAAGTCATTAAGGAGTGATACTTGTATTCTTTGTTATTCTAGATTATCTTGGATGTTATCTGAGGGAAAATACTTGTATCAGTCATCAGTCATTTGCTTGAACTGTATTCTATTGGTGTGTAAGTGCTGTGGCTTTGCAGGATTTAGAGGAATATTGGGTCTAGAGAGATAGCTCTGTGCTTAAAAGCACCCATTAATCTCACAGAGGACACAAGTTTGGTTCTCAAGCACCCATGTTGTATGCCTTTAAGCTCCTTGTAACTCCAGCTCCACCATCTTCTCCCACTGCCTTCATGTGTTCTCTCTCTCTCTCTCTCTCTCTCTCTCTCTCTCTCTCTCTCTCTCTCTCTCTCTCTCTCTCTCTCTCTCTCTCACACACACACACACACACACAATTAAGAATAAAAATTAACAATCTTAAAATAAAATCAAGGCTGTGGATAAGGAGCTGGCTTCTAAGGAAAAGGCTCTCCTGGAGTGGTGGCAGAGAGGAGAGAGTATGTCAAGTGGGAGAACATTCCAGAGTCTGTAATGAGATGGCAAATGAGTGATTGCTTAGCTAATTCTATACCTATCTCCAGTCCTGAACGGCCACTAAGAACACCTCAAATGTGAAAATGTAGCCAGCATGATGGAAGAAGGTGAGGGGACCATACATCCTTTTAGACACAGGAATGTTTCACCTTCCCCACCTGAGGATACTATCCATCTTTTAGTTTCTTCTTCTTCTTCTTCTTCTTCTTCTTCTTCTTCTTCTTCTTCTTCTTCTTCTTCTTCTTCTTCTTCTTCTTCTTCTTCTTCTTCTTCTTCTTCTTCTTCTTCTTCTTCTTCTTCTTCTCCTTCTCCTTCTCCTTTTCCTTTCCTCTCCTCCTTTATTTGCCTTTTCTTCTTTCCTCTCCCTACTCCCTTTTTCTTCTTCTATCCTTCCCTTTTCTCCTCCTTCTCTCTCCCTCTTTTTTACTTTTATTGTTTGTGGGTCCAGGTAGGGAACCCAGGGACTGCATTCTAGCTACTGCTCTACCCCAGCTGCATCCCGGCCCTTGTGTAAATGTTAAGACTAATGTCCGAATCACATATTCATGAGTCTTTTTTTCCAATTAGGAAAAACAAGGTTGCTTCACATGTCAATCCCAGCTCCCTCTAGCTCCCCTCCTCTCCCTCCACAACCACCAGGTCCCCCATCCACCCACCCAATCCCCACTCCTTTCCCCAGGGTATGTGGTATCTTCATTCTCATTGAATTCTAGGAAGTCTTTAATTTCTTTTTTAAATTTCTTCTTTGACCTAGGAATGGTAAAATTGCACATATTCAATTTCTATGAGTTTGTAGGGTTTCTGCAATGTGTGCTATTGTTGTGAATTATAACTTTAAAGCAGAATGGTCTGATAAGATACATAGAGTTATTCCAATTTTTTTGGCACTTGTTTCTGTTTGCTATGTTGCTGAGTATGTGGCTGATTTTTGAGAAGGTTCCATGTGGCACTGAGAAGAAGTTATATTCTTTTTTATTTGGATGGAATGTTCTATAGATGCCTGCTAATCACAATTGGGTCATAACTTCTATTAGCCCCTTTGCTTCTTTGTTAAGTTTCTGTCTGGTGGTCCTGTCTAGTGATGAGAGTGGAGTGTTGAAGTTTCCCACTGTAAGTGTGGGAGGTTTTATGTGTGATTTGAGTTTTAGTAATATTTCTTTTATGAATGTGATGCCTTTGTATCTGGGGTGTAGATGTTCAGAATTGAGACTTCATTGTGGTGGATTTCTCCTTTGATGAGTATGAAGTGACCTGCTTCATCTCTTTTGATAGATTTTAGGTTAAACTCTAATTTGGTAGATATTAGGTTTGCTAATCCTGCTTGTTTCTTGGGTCCATTTTTTTTTTTTGGAAAATATTGACTCTTTGAAGCTGAGGTGTGTTCCTTGTATGCAGCAGTAGGATAGCTTCTGTCTTCGAATCCATTCTGTCAGCCTGTGTCATTTTATGGACAAATTAAAACCATTAATATTGAGGGATATTAATGACCATTGATTGCTCATTTTTGTTTGTTTTGGAGTTGTTGCTGTTGTTGGAATAGTGTGTGGATATTCATCCTTTTTTTCTTTTGGCTGTTGGTAAAGTGGGATTATACATTTTGTATGCTTTTCTGATTGTAGTTAACTTCTTTGGGTTGGAGTTTTCCTTCCTGTACTTTCTGTAGGACTGGATTAGTGGATACATATTTTTTAAATATGGTTTTGTAATGGAATATCTCGTTTTCTCCATCTATAGTGATTGAAAGCTTTACTGGGTATAGTACTCTGGGTTGGCAACAGTGGTCTCTTAGTGTTGGTAGAATATCTATCCAAAACCTTCTGGCTTTCAGAGTTTCCATGGAGAAGTCGGGTGTAATTCTGATACATTTGCCTTTTTATATTACTTGACCTTTTTACTTAGCTGCTCTTAATATTCTTTCTTTATTCTGTATGTTTGGGGTCTTGACTATTATGTGGTGAGGGGGATTTTTTTTTCGTGGTCCACTCTATTTGGTGTTCTGTATGCTTCTTGTACCTTCATTGGCATGTCTTTCGGGTGTGAAAGTTTTTTTTTCTATGATTTTGTTGAATATGTTTTCTGCCCCTTTGAGGTGGTTTTCTTCACCTTCTTCTATACCTGTTATTCTTAGGTTTGGTCTTTTTACAGTTCCAATATTTTCTGAATATTTTGTGTTAGGGATTTGTTGGACTTAAGATATTTCCCCTAGTGCATCTTCAACACCTACGATTCTGTCTTCCATCTCTTATATTCTGTTGGTTATGCTTGCATCTGTAGTACCTGACCGTTTAACCAGCTTTCCTATTTCCAGGTTTCCTTCAGACTGTAGTCTTCCATTTCTTTAAGGGATATTCTCATATCCTCTTTGAGGGCCTCTATCATTTTTATGAAGTTGTTTTTAAGGTCATTCTCTTCTGCTTCATATGCATTGGGGTGTTCAGGTCTTGCTGTTGTAGTCTCTCTAGACTCTGGCAGTTTCTTATTTGTTTTTCTGTTGCTCATTGTGCTTTTATATTGTCTCCTTCCCATCACTTCTTCCATTGGTTGCCGAAGGAG